GGAACTGGGGGATGGCACCCCCACCTCCGGGAACTGGGGGATGGCGCCCCCACCTCCGGGAACTGGGGGATGGCACCCCCACCTCTGGGAATGTCCCTAACCAAGATAGCAGGAGGTCATGACTGGGCTCAAATCCCTCAGTCCTCCTGGGGGCTGATCCCCCCAGGTTCTCATGTGCCACAGAGCCTGCTCTTTAACGTTAGAACACTGGTTCTGGAAGTTTCTTCCCCTCAGGGCCCTCTTATGATTCCAGCCTGCAGTGAAAAGGGACGGTCTTTCCCTGCCTGCCTTGTCTTTCCCAGTGACCTTTCCCCAGCCCCCCTGGCTGCTCCCTGCCTCTGGTGCACCTCTCCGGGATTGCTTAACCCCCCCCCCCCGAAGGCCCAATCCATCCTATTTTAAACAAATTAGAAATTTTGCTACCAGCCTGTCTGAGTCCCTCGTTCACGTCCTTACTCCACGACAGACACAGAGCGTCAAAGCCACGACAGCAGCACAGCCACACAGCGAACCGGGCTGGGTCACCTGCTCCAGTTTCTCGGCGTCGCGCGGGGAGGAGCCTGTCCCAGCGCCACGCAGTGTCTAGCGCGGACCAGCTCACACAGCAGGTGCTCGGTTTCATCCGCCTTGACTGGACCAATTCCTTCAGGGGTTGGACACTCATTACTCCGTGAACTCAAAGACCGGGGTGTGGAGTGTGATGACTAATTAGAATGTAGTCAGCAGGTGAAGGCTGCAACCGTCGGAAGTCCTGTCTTGGAGGGGAAGACAACTCCCTACAATTAAATCCTCTAGGAATCAGTGAGGAGGGGCGCCCGAGTGTGGCCGCGGCGGCGGTGACCCTGCTCGCTCTCGGGCGGTCCTCCTCTGCCTCCTGTTCCGGACCACTGCGGCCTCCACGGGCCTCGTCAGCACCATCAATGCCTCCTGGCACCTGCAGACGCCGGGCAGGCACGTGGCGCTTGCGGGGTGTCTGTGGAGTGAGGGCACAGGCTGTGGGCGCCTGGGGGCCTGCCTTGAGGCCGCGTCTTACCCCAGTCTTGAAGCTCCGGGTTTGTGCCTTTCCTGCTGTGTGAACACTCTTCTTGGAGGTCCCTGGTAAGGGGTCCGGCTCCCCTAGTGGCTTGGGGCTCACACTCAACCACGCGTTAGACAGACCCACGTGGTTGGCCCAGACTGGGACCCCAAGAAACATGTTTATTTCCCTGTTGGAACGCCTGGGTGGAGCCCCGGCTTCTGGGGATTCTGGAATAAACCAGCCCCCACCAGTTTGCTCCTTCCTGGCGTCCCTCTCCATGGGGGCTGGCTCTCTGCAGCCCAGAGTGAGGCCGGCAAGGAGCAGCCACCAACAGGAGCCCCGGTCTGGGCCCACCTCCCATCTCCGTGGGCCATCACCTCCTCTAACAACACCAGGACGAGGGGCTCAGACCCCAGTCTACCAGGTCTGCCACACACACCCGAAAGTCTCTGCATCCTGGACGCCAGCTCTCAGCTATGTCCTGGTCTCCCCTTTCCTCGTAAGAACACCCCAGACCCTCAACCAGATACCATGGCGATACGTCCTTTGGGAAGGAAACCTGGGGTTTCCAGATGAGCCCTGTCAGAACGAAGCCAGGCCTTACCCCTGCCCTCGGCTGGTAGATAAGCAAGGAGGAGGCAGACCTGGAAAAACAGAGTGAGGAGATCTCTAAGGGGATAGCACTCCGGGCCCCTAATTAGGAGCACAGATAAACACCAGATTGGACCTCTCTGGTCTGCAAGGGCAGCAGATTCTGCCCTCCATCGGAAGTACTTTGTTGCTGCAGAGGGCTTGGAAAACTCCGTTCTACAAACTGCCGGCGGCCCCTGGCCCTTCAGCACATGGAAGGGAGATAACAGAGAGACGCCCTTTTCCGGTGTCCAGGCTGGGCAGGATAAAAGGAGGCCACGCTCTGGGTGCCCCAGAAGTGCTCGCTCTCGGCTGCGGACGGCCTTTCTCTAGCTTCTAGCTCCACCCCCACCATGAGTCGGCAGCTGAACCTCAAGCCTGGGGGTGACTGGGGCGGCTTCAGTGGGCACTCGGCGGTGGTGCTCAGGAGGGCTGCGGGCAGCGCCGCTTCCTACCACGCAGCTGGCAAAGGAGCCGCGGCCAGTTTCGGCAGCAGGAGCCTCTACAGTCTCGGGGGGCCTCGATGTATTTCTCTCAATGTGGCTGGCGGTGGTCGCACGGGGGGTTACAGCGCTGTGCCCAGCTCCGGGTATGGCGGGGGCCGAGTCAGCGGCTTTGCGGGCAGCATGTTTGGCAGCGTGGCCCTGGGGCCTGCGTGCCCATCCATGTGCCCACCTGGGGGCATCCACCAGGTCACCGTCAACAAGAGCCTCCTGGCCCCCCTCAACGTGGAGCTGGACCCCGAGATCCAGAGAGTGCGCTCCCAGGAGCGGGAGCAGATCAAGGCGCTGAACAACAAGTTCGCCTCCTTCATCGACAAGGTGGGTGTCCCTGGAGAGAGCTAGAGGCCAGCAGTTCCTGCTGCCCAGGGTGGACAGGGCACGGTGCCTGGGAAGGCTGCAGCTGGACCAGGACAGGCCCGCTGGCTGTGATGGGGCACACCTGTGGGCACAGAGGAGTAAATGCACGTGTTGCTTTCTTTGCGGATTTACAGAGAGACGAGCAAGATGGGGTAAAGGGAGCCCTGCGTTGAGAGACAAGTGATGAGTTCCTGGGGGGCTGGCTGGGGGGCCCTCCAGCTTTTAAAAGAAGAACTAATGGCTAACAGTCTCAGCCCCCCGAGAAACAAGGGCTCGTGACGCAGAAGAAACTCTTGACGGGGACATCAGGAAGAGCACCTGGGAAGCACCCCGGAAGCACCTTGTTCAGTGACTTGTCAGGGGCTGGTTCTGTCCAGAAGGCACAGTCAGGTCTTGGCTGCACATGACTTTAGGAAAGCCTGTCTAATCTGGGGAGCCGGTGAGGGGTATGGACCTGACATGATATGCCCATTGTGTGTCCAGGTGCGGTTCCTGGAGCAGCAGAACCAGGTGCTGGAGACCAAGTGGGAGCTGCTGCAGCAGCTGGATCTGAGCAACTGCAGGAAGAATCTGGAGCCCATCCTCGAGGGCTTCATCGGCAACCTGCGCAAGCAGCTGGAGGCGCTGTCGGGGGACCGGGTGCGGCTGGACTCGGAGCTGCGGAACACGCGGGACGCGGTGGAGGACTACAAGAAGAGGTGAGCAGGCCCTGTGGGTTTCGTGCGTCGTGTTCCCAGAGCCTCCTGGGTGCACCCTATCTCTGCCACACCTTAGGACAGAAGGAAGCAAGTACAAAAGCCAGGCTCCCACCTACCTGCTTGATGAGGAGTCCCTGCGGGTCGATAGGAAGGAGTCCCATGTTCATGGATACGCTGCCCAGCTCAGCAGCCCAGGCGCTTAGGAATTTTCCTGGAAATGGGATGCGTTAATCCAAGGACATGCTACTGGCACCCCAGCTTCTGCAGAGCGCCCCTGGGACTTGCCCTGTGGGGATGAGGGGGGTAACTTGGTGGGGAGCTGGAGGCCACTGTTGTCTTCTCTCATGGCCACTGTTGTCTTCGCTCCTGGCCCACAGGTATGAAGTGGAGATCAATCGGCGCACGGCCGCTGAGAATGACTTCGTAGTGCTCAAGAAGGTGAGAGCGAGAAGCCTGTGGACACTGGTGTTTCTTGCACCCCCATTCCAACCAGTTCTGCTCAAGACTTCATCTCCAGCCCTGGGGAGGCTTGTACTTCAGGGGGTGGAGTTATCGTCTGGGCCCCAGGCAGGGGAGGCAAGACAGATGCGCAGGAGATGGGCAGAGAGGCAAGAGAAAATTCTCATCTGGGAATTGGGAGTCTCTGGTCCATCTGGCTTCTCGAGTGGCACGAGGACATCCGCTCTGTCCCTCTGAGCCTCGTCTTCTCTAGCCGCGCCAAAGGAAAGCCCACCCCACTCCCCTTCCCAAAGATTCAGTGAGTGATAGAACATCAGTGTGAGGCAATTTCGTGGAACAGCAGGCTTCCCTCTGTGGTAAAGCAGATTATCTCGGGGGGCAGGAACGGGGCATCTGGAGGGTGAGGGCTGTTTGGTGGGGTGAGGACAGCTCTGGGAGTCTCTCTGCAGGATGCAGATGCAGCCTACGCAGTCCAGGTGGAGCTGCAGGCCAAAGTGGACTCTCTGGACAAAGACATCAAGTTCCTCAAGTGTCTGTATGACGCGGTAAGGCCCTCCCTGCCGGCCACTTTCCAACTGGGTGTTTTCCTTGGCTCTTCCTGGGAGTCGCCAAGAAGGGGGACTGTGGATAGACTGAAGGGTGTTTTGAAACAAATAAAACTGTGCAAGTGCACAGAAGTCCCTGGTCAATAGGAAGGAGCCCTATGTTCCTGGATCCTCTGCCCAGCTCAGCCAGGCCTGGAGGACACAGACGCAAGGACAATTCCATCTGGGTCGTGCAGGCAGGAAAAGTGACCCGGGAGGGTCCTACTTGGGCAGAGTCTCCATTCTATGAGCTGTGGGAATGGCCTCTCCCTTGGGCCTCGCTGCTGCCCCTGCAGGACATGTCCTGCTGGGGGATCCCCCCCACCCCAACCCTCACAGGTGGCCTGCTCCCTCCACATGGGCCATAGGCCCAGAGGGCCGAGAGGCAAGTTGGGGCCTCTGACTCACTCTCACTTCCCAATGCAGGAGCTGGCCCAGATCCAGAATCATGCCAGCGAGACCTCCGTCATCCTGTCCATGGACAACAACCGGGAGCTGAACCTGGACGGCATCATCGACGAGGTCCGCGCCCACTACGAGGACATCGCCCTGAGGAGCAAGGCCGAGGCCGAGGCGCTGTACCAGAGCAAGGTGGGCCCCTCCTCACCCCCCCGCCCCCGGCAAGGGACACTCACCACCAGGCGATGACACACTTGCCGCTGCCCTGAATGCAGGAACAGCTCTGACCAGCACTCTGGCGACCTCTGCCCGAGAGAATCCCTGCCGGAGACTGTTATTAACGATCAGTCATCAGCAGATGTGGGCGGCGGGACCCCACAGGGGCGGGCACCTCGGTGAAGGAAAGAAGGGAGCGACCCCGCTGTACACATCTCCATTTTCAGGAACGGGGTGCACGGCCAGGGGGCAGGAGTAGCCAGCATGGAGAGCAGCTATGGGCGGCCTGGGGTGGCCAGGGAGTGAACACGAGGAAGCCATGCACTGTCCAGGTGGGGGTGGGGGCTTCCAGGAGGGACAGGTGGGCTCCTCGGCGGCTCAGGGGCAGGCCAGTTCTGCCGGGCAGTGAAACCCTTCGGGCTGTCATGGAGGAGCCCCTCGCCGGCCAATCCCCAAGGCTCCGGCCCTTTCCTGCACCAGCACCGCGGGGATCTGGGCGCCTTGTTCCTGGTCATGGCCCTGAGCTCCGACTTCTGAACGACCAGGCAAGGGGAAGGGAGGTTCTGAGCCGCCTCCTGGGTCAACAGCCCACCACTTCAGGGGCAGGCTTGGCCTCCGGCCTCCCCGCCGAAGCAGGAAGCTCTGCGGGAGAAAGGTTGCGGGAGAAGGTCCATCAGGTGGGAGCTGGACTGGACCTGTCCTGTCCCTGCTGGACCTCCGGAGGCTGGGGCAGAACTGGCCCTGGAAGAGCCTCTTGACGAGGTGCTCACAGCACAGAGGCTCCGCAGTTGGGCACAGGCCGGTTCAGAGCCTTACAGAGGGGCCCTGAGTCTTTCCTCTATCCGGCCCAGAAAGGCCGTGTCAGGGCAACGAGGAGGGAGGTCCCGCCAGGGGGTCAGGCCAGTCAGGACGGCCACCAGCCAGCGGGCAGATGTCCTGCGCCAGCCCACCTCCTGCGGGCACCCCCGAGCTCTCCCCACCTCCCTCCTGGCCAGCGGGTTGCTCGGGCCCCTCCCTCCCTTGGATGGTGGGTGGGGGCACGGTCTGGCTCATCGCCAACGTCCTGTCTCTGGGGACCAGATCCAGGAGCTGCAGCTGGCGGCCGGCCGGCACGGGGACGACCTCAAGCGCACCAAGAACGAGATGTCAGAGCTGAACCGCCTCATCCAGAGGCTCCGGAGTGAGACCATGAACGTGAAGAAGCAGGTGGGCAGCGACCGTGCACGGAGCCCCGAAACGGGTCCCACCTTCCAGCCTCACCTGGCCTGGGCGCTCGGCCGCCTTCGGCTCAGCTCTGCTGGGGCTCAGCTAGACTTAACAGACCAGGACTAGGACTCACTGCTCCTCCTCTCATTCCCTTTTTCTCAGCCATGGCCGGAAGGGAACCCCCCGCCCCCCCCCACCCCCAGGCAGCGCCCACTCCTTCCGCAGGCCATACAGCAAGTGGGGTCCTTCCTCATGGAGGGCACAGTCCGAGGATGGCGGCAGGTGAAGCCCTCCCGGGCCCCCTGCCCACCTCCCTATTTCCTGGGGTGTCCTCTCTGGCCTGAGACCAGCAAACCCCACACACCGCGGCAGGGGGAGAGGGGATCTGGCCTGTGTGCCCTCCAAAGGACCAGGTCAACTCAGTGGGCGCCAGAATTGCCAAATTGCCCCTCTCCCCTGCACCCCGCAACCATCCCACGCCCGGCAATGTAGAGAAAAGGGATCAAGACACCGGCAGGCAGGACCTGACTCAGCACCCCCTTCGCTGCTGGCGGACCTGGCGGAACCCTGACCTGTGCGCCTCACCTGGACCTAGCACCCTCTGGGCCTGGAGCCCTGGGACCTCCCTCCCTGGCACAAGACAACTTTGCAAACCCTCAACTTTCTTCCCTGAAACGCAGTGCTCGGTGGCTTTTCACAGCGCCTCTTAGCATCCGTGTGACAGCGAGCCACAGACCACTGCTTTGGTTAGTCTGGGGAGAGGCGGGCATGAGTGCGAAACCCCATGCTCCTACACGTCTGGGAAGGCACCCAGTGCAGCCATGCTGAGAAGTAAGGGCAAGTGGAGAGACTAATCAAGGAAGGCTTCCTGGAGGAGGAAGCGTTTGAGCAAATAACCAGAATGATGAGCACACAGATTCCTGGCGAGAGGAAGCGTTTGAGCAAATAACCAGAATGATGAGCACACAGATTCCTGGCGAGCACACTTAGGAAACATCATCACAGTAGGTCTGGTGTTTGCGCTGCAGTCCGCTGCCCCCAGCTCATCTGCAAAGCCAGAGGGTCGTGCCGCTTCGCCGTTAGGTGTTTTGCGTTCAGGTGACCCCCTTGTTGTTACCTTGCAGTGCACCAGCCTGGAGACGGCCATCGCCGATGCCGAGCAGCGGGGGGACAGCGCCCTGAAGGACGCCCGGGCCAAGCTGGACGGGCTGGAGGCCGCCCAGCATCTGGCCAAGGAGGAGCTGGCCCGGCTGCTGCGCGAGTACCAGGAGCTGATGAGCCTGAAGCTGGCCCTGGACGTGGAGATCGCCACCTACCGCAAGCTGCTGGAGGGCGAGGAGTGCAGGTGGGCACAGGGGGAGGCGGGGCCCTAAGGAGGAGGGGTGGTGGGTGTCCTGCTGCGCTGGGGCTCTGGGGGTGTGGGGGGGGGCAGGGGGGTGGAAGACGAGGGGCAGCAGCCGTGATGGCCACCGCCAAGGCAGAGGGTGACTGGCGGCTCAGCTGCGGCTTCCGGGCCAGGTGTGAGCGGCGAGGCCAGGTGGCGGCGTGGTCTCACCCGTTGCCCGGCAGAGGCCAACCAGTGAGTGCCCTGCGCCGCTCCGTGGGGGTTGTGGTCTCCCGCTCGTGGGGTGTTGAGGGGGGAGTTAGCCACACGGTCACGGAAGCGAGAGCCCAGCAAAGCCTGGCACAGTCTAGACGAGTCCCTGAGGCTTCTCCTTCTCTGACTTGCTGTCTTACAGGATGTCTGGGGAGAATCCTTCCTCTGTGAGCATCTGTGAGTACCTCACTGGGGAGCTGACGGTTGGGGCAGCCACGGGCTCCGGGAATGGGACACCCCCTCGCTCCGCTCCTCCTCCCACTGGGGGTTTCTGGGACTGTCTCATGAGGCTTCTGTGGCTTCAAGGGAACCGAGGCCACTTGCGTCCTATGGAGACAGTGACCCAAGTGGCCGTCCGCCCGCCTGTGGCGGTGTCTCCCCACAAGAGGGCTGAGCGGATGGACTTGGGGAGGCCGCGCGTCTCGGGAGGGAGGGCGGCCTGTCCGGCGCGGTCCTCATCCCGCACGGAGGGAGCTTGGCCGCAGTCAGGGTCCTGGATGTCCGTGGTGCTCTGCGGCTGAGGGTTGCTGAGGGCCGGGCCGGGCCGGCTGGCCGCTGACGCCTGTGTCCCGGCGGCCCTCGCCTCCCTCCTCAGCCATCATCAGCAGCAGCAGCGGGAGCAGCTACGGCTACCACCCGGGCCCTGCGGCCGTCGCCGACCCTGGCACCAGCAGCTCCGGCAGTGGCCGAGGGGCGCAGACCAAGGCCAAAGGCGTGCGTGCGGGGGACCTCAAGGACGCCCAAGACAAGGGCACCCCGGTCAGGAAAGCCCCCCGATAAGCCTGCGCGCCCCTGTGCCGGGCGAGCAGCCGCCCGCAGCCCGCCCCGACTGCCCGCCACGCCCGCTGCCCGCACACTGGCCTGTCTCGCGGTCAGTGCCGGCCTGCGCCACCCCCTGCCTGCCTTGCCCTCTGTCCCGTGTGCCCACGGTTACTTCATATTTTCCCTTCTGCCTTGAGCTGGCGGGAGGCTTCGGGTGACAAGCTGTGATTCCCTTCTTGGCTCTGGGAAGCTCTGACCCTCCTCAGGGGGAGAAGAGGAGGGAGGGGTGAGAGGGGCCTGTGCTGCACTTGGGTCAGCAGTTTGGTTTTTTGGGGTGTTTTGGGGGTCCTTCCCTGCCAGCATCTCGGGGCGGATGTGGAGACGTGCAGCAAGAAGGGAAGAAGCCAGACAGAAGGATGCTGGCGGGTGATGCGGTATTTAGGAGAGAGTGTGGTTGCACTCTCAGGCCAGCAGCTGCACCCATGTTCCCAAAGCCAAGAGAAGGAGACTGGGGACCCCTGCCCACTCGTCTCGTGTTGCCTGCTCTGTTACCAGTAACACCCACCGCCACTGGCCAAGCCCGCACCCCATGCCGGCGGCCTAAAGGCGCTGCCTGGCATTCACCCTGCAAAAGCTATCCACATGCACAGCCGCCCTGGGAACAGAGAAGCAACTCCACCCTCTGAGATGTGCAGGCCTGGTCCCCCCACCCCCACCCCGCGCCAGGCCAGGAGGGGGCCCAGGCGTGCTGACCACCTTATGCCAGGGCCTGTTTAACAGAAGGAATGCCAAATTCTCGGTGCGTTCAACCAGGGTGGCAGAATTCTGTTGCCCTGCGGGTCGGAGCCGTGGGCATGTGATCTGTGTTTGGTCCTCTTCCTGGGCTGGGTCCTGCATGGCTTTCAACTCTCCAGCCCTGTTGCTATTAGTCGTGCCCAGTGGGCAGCCTTGATCTGTCTCTGGGGTACCGCCCAGCCCAGCAGTAGTGGCTCCTGCTGTAAATATTCTTGAGAACGGTGACACAGGATCCTTCCTTTGCTTGAGTTAAGGACGCTGACTTTCTGCTTTCTATTCAATAAACTGCCCTCCGGTAATGTCAGGGTGCACTCCCGTCAGTGTGTCAATCTCTCTGAACTGCCCACCCTCATGCGGACATGCCCCCCACCCCTGGACCTGTACACAAGCATTGTGGCAGGCTGGACACAGACCAGCGCAGACCACTGCTTTGGTTAGTCTGGGGAGAGGCGGGCATGAGTGCGAAACCCCATGCTCCTACACGTCTGGGAAGGCACCCAGTGCAGCCATGCTGAGAAGTGAGGGCAAGTGGAGAGGCTAATCAAGGAAGGCTTCCTGGAGGAGGAAGCGTTTGAGCAAATAACCAGAATGATGAGCACACAGATTCCTGGCGAGCACACTTAGGAAACATCATCGCAGTAGGTCTGAGAGCAGGTTTTTCGTGCTTATTTCATGTGGGGGCGGGACGTCTCGGATATTATGAAGTCGGGAATGAAGCTGGGCGCGTTTCCTGCTCCCTCTGCACTGGCCTGCAGCATGCAGCCACCTGGCAGGCTTCCTGGTCTATCTTGTGGTGCAGTCCCCCCATGGGGGGGGACTCTGGCCCCACATGCAGCCTCCGCTGGCCCCACTGTGCCCCACAGGCCGTCTGCCTGTGCAGCAGACATGCGAAGCAGACCGCCCAGGACCTTCTGCCCAGTGTCCCCCTCTAACGTCACTGCCGTCCTCACTGTGGCTGCCGGGAATCACGCCTGGGACTTAGGGCATCTAGCTCAGTTCGTGCACTAACCAGTCACAGGTTAGTGATTAAGGTGAAGGCAATTCTTAACCTCGCGGGTCTTGTACCCAAGTTATGTGCCTTTTCCTCTGGAACGTGTCCAGAACCATGTCTGCATGCCTAGAGCTTCACAGCCTTCATGGACTCCTGGTGACTGTTGGAAAGCCAAAGAGACACCAGCTTGTCTCAGCAACATCTCAGACCCACGGCCCAGAATTGCCCTACCTGGGAGGCTGGCCACATTCTCTGTATTTCCTTCACATGTTTTCGCCTGTACCCATGATCCACACACAGCCCTGATCATCTTAGATCAATCTCAGATCGCTATGGCATGCCCTGGCCATCGTGACATTGGCATAACTCGTCTTACCCAGGAATCACCACATGGACTAAGCATACACAGAGACCCCTGTTGGGGTGAGATGTGGACCCTTCTGCAACCGGAAGTCCTGCCCACCCCACCCCACCCCCGTTCTGCTGCTGGGGGCCTTGTACATGCATCATCCTTGATAAACCGATGTGCTTGCCTTGTTCTTCAGTTTCAAATTAACTTCTCAGTGTGGAGAGCTTATTTGTTCCTGCAGCTGCAGTCACGACTCAGCACCAAAGACCCAAGACCTGTCCCAACACCGTGGCCCTGCTTTTTCCAAAACACCCACTTCCTAGTGACCCACAGTGGGGCTGGAGGGAAGAGGCAGACGTGACCCACAACTCCTCCCTGAGAGGAGCCCATGGACCATCGGGGCCACTTCCAGGTGCCCGACAGCTGGGCTGCGGGCCTCAGTGCGTGCCCAGCCACCTGGAGGCCAGGCAGATGCCCTCAGGGGCAGTGACCCCTTCCATGCAGGGGTGGTAAGGGAAGCAGAGGGCTGCAGCTCACCCCCAGAGAAGTGGAGAGAGTCTCTGCCATCTGGGGCTTAGGTAGAAGCCCGAGAAATGCACGGGTGAGCATGCTCTCGCTTGAGCACGCAGTGTGCAGGTCTCTTTGGCCCCAATAGGGGAAATCGCAGAGGCAGGACCAGTGGTGACCAACGCAAGTTATGGAGCTGAGATTTCAGTACACAGAAGGAGTGGGTACGGGCAGTTCGGGTGGGAGAAAGTGCCCGGAGGAGTCAGGCAGTGCCTGATTCACCTTCTCTGTGTGGGCCTACAGGGAAGAGCCTGTTAGTTGCTGAGCTACCTGGTCCATGATACTTGTGCTCACGGGGTCCTGTACCTGGAACAGCATGCACACCCTTCCTCACTGGGCAGCTCCCACTGCTCCTTTGAGATTCTACTTGGGCCCCTCCCTCCTGGACAACCTCCTGGACTGGATTTCCGGCTGGACGGAGCATCTATTTTTTAGGGGCTCCTCACCCAGGCACCACCTTCACTGTGATGTTTCCAAATGGGGTTGGGATGATCTCTCTGTGCAGGTGACTCTAACAGCACCCCAAGGACAAATACTGGCCTGATTCTTTGCTGAGCTTTGCAATTAATAGACAATTACGGGAGCTTCACCAAACAGAGCTAGCCAGAGGATGATGTTTCTAGGATCTTTGTACCTTTCACAAGTAATGTGTTCAAAAGAGTTTTAGAGGGTAAAACCCATGTATCTATGGCCATTTTTACAAGAGTGTCAAGATCACACATGGAGGAAAATACCGTCTCTTTAAGAAATGAGACAACTGGTATCCATACTTGAAAGAATCAAGTTGGATCTTTGTTTCCCACCACGTACAGTAATTAACTCAAAATGGATCAGCAACCTAAATATAAGAGCTAAAAATCATCAAACTCTTAAGAGAAATATAGGCCTAAATCTTCATGACCTTAGATTTGGCAAAAAAAAAAAATTATTAGATATGACACCAAAAAGCCACAAGAGTCAATAGATAAATTGTACTTCAACAAAATAAGAAGCTGTGTGCATTGAAGAACATTGCCAAGACAGTGAAAAGACTTCAGAAGGTGAGAAAGTACTGCAAATCACACACTTGAAAGACTCTAGTAGCCAAAACACATAAAGAACTCTGGCCACTCGACGAGAGGGCAAACAACTCAGTTAAGAAATGAACCAATGGGGCCCTCCCTGGTGGCACAGCGGGTTAGAGCACAGCACTGAGAAGCTAAAGCCACTTCCGCATGAGTTCGATCCCCACCTGCCCTGGAGGTGACCACATGGCGCGGCAGACCTCTCCTGGCCCGCCCGCTGCTCCCCTCAGCAGTGTACTGTGTTGATCTGCCTGTACTGCTCCCCACTCTGTCTCTGGTGATGCCTCTCACCCTCCGCATCTCTGGCCTGTACCCCAGCTCTGTATAAATAAATAAATAAATCTTAAAAAAAAAAAAGAAATGAACCAATGATTTCAACAGACCCTTCTTCAAAGAAGATAGAGGCAAATGGGTAACAAACACATGCAAAGACACTCAACCGGTAAGTCATCAGGGAAATGCAAATCCAAGCTGCAACCAAGGAGGATTTCACTCCCGCTCGGATGACTGCAATAAAAACTAGTGGAAAGCAAAACGTGTCGGCAAGGATACTGATGGTTAAGTCACTGTGGAAAGTCGGGTGGTTTCACATAGTTAAACCCAGGGAAGTGCTGATGTGACCGAGCAGTTCCCCACATCTGCCCACGGCACATCCATCCCCGAAACAGGCGTGCAAACACATGCGGGCGTAGGCGTGTCATGGCGGCGCCATTCAGAGTGTTAGCATATTCCCCAGAGTCAAAGGTTGACATCCAAAGCCTTGAAGATGATGGCATTAGGAAGGCGGGCCTTGGAGGTACTTAGGTTGTGAGGATGGGGCTCACGGGGCGAGGCTGAGTGTTCTTACAACAGAGACCTCGCCTTTTCTGCCATGTGAGCCTAGGGTTAGAGGTGCAAGTTCCCAACCAGGAACATGGCAGGGATCCTGCAGGCACCTTGAACTTGGACCCCAGACTCTGAGCTGTGAGAACTAAGTTTCTGTTTGTATAAGCTACAGTCTGTGATATTGGTTTTAGGAACCCACCAGGGCTAAAACACAACCCAAGTGTCCAACCACAAATGAAGGAATTAAAATAAACCCATTGTGTGGAATACTATCGAGTCATGAGGAAGGATGAAAGTTTGTCACTGGCAGCAAGAGAAGGAGCTTGAGGTGATGACGCAAGTCGAAGTGAGCCAGAGAGGTAAAGGCAAATACAAAACAATTTCACGTATCTGTGCAACCTGAGACAACAAAACAGGTGAATTGGCCAAATAAACACAAATGCTTGGACATTGCTAACTGAGTTGCCAGGGAAAGGGGGAGGCGGTGCAGAATTAGTGAGAAGGTTACAAAGGGATGGTGGTGGGAATTTTTTATTCCTTCAAGAAATAAAACAAAAAGTTAAAAAAAAAAATCTTGGTCTATACAGTGGCGTAGGATTCAGCCATAAAAAGGAACGAAGTGCTAATGCATGCAACTGAGTGAATGAGCATCCAAAACCTGATGCTGAGTGAAAGGAGCAGACGTGAAACGTCACTACTGCAAGGTGATCCAGTTCGCGTCAAATGTCCAGAAATGGCAACTCTATAGGACGTGGGGGGGGGGGGTTTGCAGGAACTACCTACTAGTGGGTGCTGAGTTTCTGTAGGGGATGATGGAAACGTTTGCCCCTAAATAGAGGTGGTGGCTGCACGACTTTGTGAACCCACTAAATGCGTCATGTCCCCCTTACAATGGTTTACTTTCTGTTTTATGAATCTCCCCGAGTAAAAGACATAAAATCAGGGGGGAGCATAGTGGAGAATTGGTCAGAAAAATGGTGTCCTTGGGCCTCTCTTCCAACCTTCCCCATTCTATGGCAAATAGTAACTTGGAACAAATACAGAGAGCAGTGGGGGCCATTAGGAAGGTGGGCACAGTGTCCCTGTCCCTGCGTTTAACCAGCCAAGGCCAAGCCCGGGGTTCTGGGGCACTGACTCCCTCTATGCCCTGAGTGCCTGGATGCAAAAGGAGACATCACTAGAATGTCACCTCCAGCAGCCTCCTCCTCCTGCCCTGTGCCTCCTCCTGCTGCTGCCCCCTGCTTCCGACCTCTCTGTTCTCTGACCGTCACAGCCTTCTCCTGGGCCCCAAATGTGACTAGAGTGAGGCTTGCTCTCTGCACCCATGTCGTGGTAGAGAAAGTCCCACTGAAGCAGGTGCTCTGTGATCTGGCGTCTTCGCCTTGTCCATCCTCGTTCTCTCAGACCCAACTCGTCAGAACCTGCCCCGCTCATGGCCTCGGAGTGCTTGGAGCGGCTTGATTCCCTCACTCGGTCACCAGCTGGGACTCACCACACGCCCACAAGGCTATAC